ATTGATGCTTTTACTAATTTCATTTACTTTTGAAATTATTTGTATTGGTTCGGGGTATTCAAATTTTTTCTGACCTTTGTCCAGGTTCACCACCTATGTCAACCGGTCTAAGTTCGAATGCTTTATTTATACAGCATTACTGTTATTCAAACCCCTGGCAATGGTGGTATGTCTGACTAGTCGTCTACCTCGGTTCGGCGACCCAGATGCGCGCGTATCCTCTTATACTTGCTTACCTTGCCAAGTGTCGTCGATCACAGTCGGCACAAGGGTGTGACCCACGCTATCGGAAACGTTTCCAAATCCAGGTTATCATGCCTCAGTTATATCCAGTTATACACGGCACGTCTTTACTATACCTTTTCAGTCCACTCATCGGCTTGAATTATTTTGTCATGGTTCTAGGTATTCCAAATTGCCAACAGTTACCTTGCCCAGTTCAACTTACCTGCTTATACGTTTACTAAACGTGTCGAATGTTTCACTAGTTTCAGATTACTGTACCGATAACACTTCCGCCGCAATGTGGGGAGTATTGTCCTAACTCGTCCTTCCACCCGAGACTGGGATTTCCAGATGGGGAGCTATTGATTCCTCTACTTGCAGGTGTCCGCATATGGATATAGGCGGCACAATGTTGCGAAACGCCGATGAAAGATTAAATTTCAGGCTATGTCCAGTCTTATATCTTCGTCGCTCCCGTTTACTCACACTCTCTACGTCTACTTTGAAATTTCATCCTGCTCATGCTGCTTCGTGGTTATTTCACACCCAACCTCTTCTGACCCTTGGTCCATGTTCCCCACCCTACTCGCTACTCTGAAGTCTTCGATATGTTTTATCTGCTTTTACAGCAGTTACTGTTTTCACCCACCACCCCTCCCTTGTTTTTTTTTTTTCTTTTTCTTCTGTTTTCCGCTCAGTGGTGGCACGTATGTCTAAAGACTTACGCTCGTCCACCGTGTTTGCGCGCGCCCAGTGGGGATTCCGCTCCTCACTTTACTGCAAGTCGTCCCTCCGCTCGATACAGCTGCATCCAGGTGTGCAACATTGATACAATTAATCGTTAACAGTGTTTTATTTAGTTTAACTCGACGTTCTTTACTAATTTCAGCTCACGTATTTGACAATTAATTTGTCATCGGCTTTAGGTATTCAATGCAAAGTTAACCTTGGCCCCCAAGTTCAACTACCTATACCCGTACTGAGTGTCGAATGTTTTCACTAGTTTCGATCTACCCTGCCACCGAGAACCCCAACATCCTGCTCGCGCAATGGGGAGTATGTCTAACGTAGCCTCTTCTCAGAGACTGGGAATCCCAGATGGGGAAGCTCACTTGACGTTCATACTGCACGGTGTCGCCCACTGGATTATACGGGCAACACAGGTGGTGAACGCGATTGAAAGCTTGCAAATTCAGGTATGTAATTATAATCTAGTTTAATGATGTTCTTTACTAAATTTCGAGTATATTTTAAATTATTTGTCATGGCTTTCGTCGGTATTCAAAATTTTCCTGGACCTTGTCCAGTTCACCCACCTATGTCTAAGTTCTCGGAACTGTCTTATGTTTACAGATTACGTGTCCATCTCAAAACCCTGTCGCAATGTGGAGTATGTCTGACTAGCTCGTTCCACGCGTGTGGAACTCCAGTTGGATCCGTAACTTCCTCTGCAAGTGCCCTACTGCGATACACTGGACGGCGATTGTGAAATACCGGCCGTGTCGTGTACTGTAACGCTTAATAATCAGTAGATCTTATCATTCCATCACTTCCGCTTAATTACTTTTCCTCTAATGATTCCGGCTTTAATGATTCCCTCATACTCCGCTTCATATTTTTGCTTAATTCCCGCTACTTCTATCGCGCTAACATTCCGCTTCATTATTCCGCATTATTCACTTTTTTGCGCTATAATCACATTTGTCATTATTCACACCTGCTACAGTATAACGTAAATGCTCTGATGTCGCTGTTCTACAACGGTGCTTATATAATTCATTGCCATCGCCTGTTATCATGTTTGCTTTCATATACAGTTACGCATATTATCAAGAACTAATTAGAGGTATTATTATATTAGCTCTTGATAATATACGATCGTGACCTTATATGCACTGATTTCTTCATTCAGATGTGGCAAGGATCATGTGGAACGTACGACTGTAGGAACGGAGGGCATTGCGTGTGGAAGCATGGAGTTCAAATATGCGAATGTCTACCATCTTGGGGAGGACCATCATGCGAGTCTAGAAATATCATTGAATCCGCTGACAAGCCAACGAGATTCTAGCAGTCATGTAATTTTCGGCAACGTGATGAAAAAGCTTTTAAGAAGTACTGTACATCTAAAGAAAAATATGCGTCGTTTGGTAATTCGCCTCTAAGGACACTGCTCGAGAATAGTAATTAAATTTCAAGTTGACTTGTGCGTGTGCCCATATACTGAGTGCATGAGTAATGGAAACGGCACCAGTATCGCTGTCGCAAGATGTAACACACACTAAATCAGATGGTTGCATGTTATTTATGTTTAGGCTGCATTTTATAATATATTATACAATAAACGAAATAAATGAAATATATATATATATATATATAATTATATATATATATATATATATAATATACGTTATATACGTAAATATATGCGTGCAATTAAAAGTGATAAAGTAAATAAATAAATATACGAATAAAGGCCTGATTTACAAGTTAATATGTGGGTTATGTATAGTGCATGTGTATGCATATAACAGTAGTCTGTAGTCTGGTGATTGTTATACGAAATTAAATGTTTATTTTCAATAAACTATATATATAAATGTATTTATCCATCTCTCTCGTATTTGTTTTGCTGGGAAAAGTGGTGGTCTAAGGAGGTTCTCTGACACTGTGTTAATTAGTAATTAATAATACTTACTTAATTAGTAACAACCTGTATAAGGGCGCGCAACAGAAGCCCAGCCCAACCGAAAATAATTCGCGTGCTGCCTATTGCGTCTGCAATGCGACTTTGACGCAACTGCGACGCGAGTGCGACGTGACCACGACTTAACTTCAGCGCGAGTACGATATAAGCGCGACGTGACTGCGACGCTACTGTGACGCTACTTTGACGCTACTGTGACATGACTGTGACGTAATTGCGACGTGACCACGACGTGACCACGACGTGACTGCGAAATGACTGTGACGTGACTGTGACGCGACTGTGATATGACCGTGACATGACTGTAACATGACTGTGAAGTGACTGCGACGTAACCGATTAAACTTAACCGATTACACTTCACATCAAACTATCCGCCACATGCATGGGACCAAAGCGCGCCTCACAATTTATAAGAGTTCCAACAAATAATAACGCTTGTATTTTTCTAATCTATGTATTTCGCATTTCAGTGTCGATAATATGTACTTATTAAAGCTCATATATATTAACCACATCGATAACAGCCCGCGCATTGCTTGGAGACGGAAAGAGGCAAAATATTAGAGGACTCCTGTATAAGACTGGTTAAAATTTCGACAAGCTGTATTATGTTATCCTCATCCTATCTCTCTATACATGAAAGCATGAATGCATCTAAACTATATCTTTATAGTTACACTCCATACCATATACTTACAAGTATAGTTTTAGTTCATGATAAAAGGTTGCCGCAAATAGCTCTCCGATTTGTTGAAACGGTTAAGTGATCGCAGGTAGGCGGCATGGCAAAATGTTTCACACCAACCTAGAGTTTCATTATAGGTGAGTGAAATAGGTTCAATAACCAGGCATATCGCTATGCAATGAAGACAAAAACTCGAGGCAAACAAATCGGACTTTTCAATGCCAATAAGAAACGATAGTCTATTTTATTTCCCCAAACCGCTTCTAGATATGCTGACTCGTTTACAAAAACTAGCAAGTGACGACAGACATTGTCATAGCCGTGACTAAATAAATGGAGCTAGCTGAATCATGTTATAATAAAATTATTAGTAGTAATGGTTCCATACACGCACATACCAGTAATCTATTATTACCATGAATGCTAACAAAATATTTATCTGGTCACATCTGAATTGTATAATACTGTTCTCGATGTTATCATTTAGCTAGCCAATCTAGGGTTGAAATTTTTTAGGCTTTTTATGGTATATTTTATAACCGCTGTTTAGCATGCGAACAATCTTGCGCACATTTCGCATAGAACGATGAGTGTATATATATACA